CAGCCAAGGTTGATAAGTCCAGCACAACTGTCCCTAGAAATCAATGGAGAAACAAGGTGCCTCCAGGATAAAGAGGAACTAGGGGAATTTGCAACCACCAATTCAACTCTACAGAGAATATTGCAGGACATTCTAAAAAAGAAAAATACCAAGATTACAGAAACAGTGGCAGAGAGGCCACAATGAATGGAGCAGAAAGTGAAATGAAGAAGACAAACTGACAACTAATGACAGAAAAAGAGCTCACAGAAATGAGGCAGAGAAGGTTGGATGTCAGAAACAGCTATTTTGGAGAAAACAAGACATCATACTAGTGAATGTTGATTTAATATCCTCTTGTTTTGAAGTCCCATCAAGCTTTTGTTCTTCTGTCTCCATCGGTCTTAACATGTTGTATCTTAATGGATTTTATTATATGTGATAATAAAAACAAAAACTTTTATAGACAAGGAGATAATACAGAAACCATTGTTCATTTTCTATTAGTTGATTCTAAATACCCTGTAATACTGTCATTCTCTTGAATGGTTTTATATTGTCTTGATATGTTTGATGCTACAGTATACAAACTTATACTCAAAGATTTCAAGGAAAGAGACACTAATGGTAACCATTTTTATGTCAGGATTATCTTGTGGTGAAACACTATTTTGCTTAAATGGTTATGTTTTGACCTGTGCTGTTTTGTTGTTATGCCCTCTTTTATCTCAATCTCCTTTTTTATTATTTAATTTTTTATTTTTATCTTTTTAAGGGAAAAAATAAAAAATAGCAGGATATATTATAGTAACCCACTTTGATTTCCTATTAACTTGATTTGAAACCCTGTATTTCTCTCACCATCTTGTTTTGACTGATTTTCCTCTATTCTGTTTTGATGGATAGTACCAAGTTTGAGAGTACAGGCAACAACTGTGAAAACAATAAGATTCACTATGATGCCCATTCTGGTTTGACTATTATTTTCTTTTGAAGTCCTGTAATATCTCCAATGTTTTGGTTTTGTTCTTTACTGTTTTATTCAATTTTATTATAACTGATGATATAGATAATTCTTTTTAAGATAGCAAGAGGCATTACAGTAACCATTGTTGACCACCTTGTATTCTGTTTTTACATTATGTATTATGTCCATCCTTTTGATTTGACTGACTCTGTTTTGTTACGTCACATTTGATTTTATTCTCCTCAAAAAAGTAATAAGAACTGTGGGAGTAATAAAACTCAAAATGTGTATTTGTCATTGTAAAAAATAGAGGAAAAGAAAGTGCTCTGAAGGATATAACTGCATGTATATTTAAGTGTATAAGATAACCATATTACTAAGTTTTGTTTGATCACTGAACAGAACTGTTTGCAGTCTCACTGTTTGAATGTCCACTTTATATGCTTTAATTCTGTAAGTTGAACTATTTCTAAGATGACAATATGTAATCTATTAACTAGTGATTTCCTACTGTTTATTTTTTCTGAAATTCTATATAACTTGTACTCTTTTTCTGTTTCCCTTTTTCTCCTTAAATAAAATTAAAAATAAAAAAAATAAAATCTGGTCAGTTCAAGAATAGTTTATCAGTTAGTGCCAACCAGCCATGGACTGGTGGGCCCAACTTGCTGGGCAGGATTGAGTGGTCCTCAGTTATTCAGGTGGTGTAGTACAGCATGTAGTACCTGGACAGATAGATCTTGGCCTAAAATGAACTTGCTAGCTTTCTAGATCAGAAGGACAGTGGCTGTGACTTCCTACATGTGTGTGGTGTATCTTTTGGTGCAACAAAGTGTGGGTGCCTCTCAGAGAGAGACCATTCAGATGCTCACCTGGTTGTACTCCTTGCAGGGCACAACTTAGCTAAGGAGGGTGCAAAGGCAGAGTGGGAGGCAGCTCTTTGTGACTGAATTCAAGTATTTGCACATGTAGGCCACTGGGCACTCCCAGGGGATGACAGTTTGAGTAAGCTTCATTGCTTTTGTGAATTTAAGGATCTAGATTCTATAGAAGTCAGCAGCTCTAAGAAATTTTCAGTTTCTTTCTTGTAATCAGTGTCTGCCAGATATTGCAGCAGAGCTTTTGTGTCTTTCTTGAAGGCAGCTTGTGTGCCATTAATCAGATATGCAGTGATATTTTGGGTTGGGAAACCAGTAAGGTCAGATTTGAGGGCTTCTCCAAAGAGAGTAAACAAGTATTTGAACTTCTTGGAGGCTGAGTCCAGGTAAGTTGACTTTTTACTACAGAACTGGAGTTTTTCCATTTAAAAATGAAGAGCAGAAGGCATTCTTTAGGTCCAGGCATGTGTATCAGCAGACTGTGGGAGACTTCAGGATGGAGGACAACCACAGCAGCATTGTCAGCTTGAGGATCCTGAATTAGTTTTACAGGCAAGAGAGGTGTATTTTAGCAGTTTGACAGTCCAAAACACTTTGAAGTTTTGAAATCTCTGGATGTGTGGTTCAATTTCTAGCCAAGTCTCTCATGGCACGGGATACTGTTTGATGTAGGTGGGAGTTTCACCAGGATAGCACAATTAGAGGCAGGCAGTTGATGGCTCAATCTAAGGGCCCAGGGTAAAGCATCTTTTAAATTTAGTTATGCAAACTAGGTGGTTTCCGGAGGTAACAGTACAGTCCATCAGGATCACAAATTGCTTTCTGACAATAAGAGGTCAGGTGAAGTGGCATGGTTGATAGCCAGGCCCAGAGGCAGGTCAATGGCCTATATCCTGGGAAAGAATTTTCACAATTTCAGATCGTGGCAGGCATCATCCTTCTCTTGGGGAAAGTACAGGGTTAAATGAGGAGAGTGACTAACTTGGTGCAAAGGAGATGGTCACCTCTAATTTGAAGAAGTCTTTTCTCAGATTTAGTATGAGGGACTGGCTTATGCAGAAATTTGTTTGCTGAGATGTCTTCCCAGGGTGCAAGTTTAAGACTGGCACCAAGTTTATAACTGGAGTGAGAGGCAAGAATCCCAGTTGCCTTGGTGTAACCTTTTTCTGATAGAATTGAATATCCATGGCCCTTATAACTTGCATATTGGTAATGGCTTTATCGGGCTCTGGGTACATACTGATGGGCTTTTTTTGTCCCTCCCTCTTTGATGTCTTTGAGAAATGCTTGACTGATTTTATGCTTCTAGATGGGCTGACTTTTGGGAAAGGCCATTGCAACTCATTCATCAGGGTTGAGAGTCCAATTTTTTGTTTTTTAAGTCAAAATGTGGGACTCAGAATGAATTTCTGACAGTCATGTTGGGTGGAAATTGATAATGCCATCTGACCAGGATAAGAAGGAGCAGGTTTTAAAGGAAGGATCTCTATGGCCAAATACAGACAATGGCTAGCTGGAACTAGTTCAATTGGGTGGAAGTAGGTGAGTCAGGAGTGGGGTGTGAACCTATAGGTGTTGGCAGAACCAATGGTGGTCAATGAGAGTTCCAAGGTGGAATTCTCAGAAAGAATGGGCCTCATTCTTTTCCTTTGAGATGCAAGCAGTGGTTTGGTTTCACGTTTAACTGCACCATCTCAAAAATCCTTTTTTGCTTCAGAGACTTTGGGTTTTGACTAATTAGCTCCCATCTCTGACTTCCTACATGTGTGTGGTGTATCTTTTGGTGCAACAAACTGTGAGTGCCTTGCAGAGAGAGACCATTCAGATGCTCACCTGGTTGTACTCCTTGCAGGGCACAACTTAGCTAAGGAGGGTGCAAGGCTTCCATTATGCCATATGTGGATCACCACGAAACCTCAGGTGAGGAACCAATCAGCCACTACAACCAGTGCTCTTTAGTCTTGGTGCATAGATGAAGCATCCCATTGCTTATGCTATCTATTCCATTCATACATTCATTCAACAGGCACTCAGAAGTTAAGCATCCCAACACCCTTGCCTTAAGAAGTCACCAAACTCCCTTGCTGGAGCTGAAGACTGACAAACTAGTTCCCCCATGCATCTTACCAGAATTAGGCAGGCAGACTGCACCCTTCTCCCTTCTGAGTCTGATATGAGGAGCTCAGTGGGGAGCAAATAATGCTCTGCCAGACCTGTGAGGGGACCTAAGAAATATCCAGGGTGTGTCTTCCCATGGAACCTAGAAAGGTCTTTGCTCCATCTGCAAGGGCCATGACCAAGGACCAAAGAGGGTCAACATGGTCAGTCTTCCTGGCTGATGCACCAGATGCAACAGCAAACAGAAATGACACTCAGGATTTGGAGGCAGATTTAATAGATGGGAACTGATCAAGATCATTCCCCCCAAAAATCAAATCCTGAAAGCTCAGGGAAGTGTTTTTTTTTTTTTTTTTTTTTTTTTGGTACCAGGGATTGAACTCACAACCTCATGCTTGCCAGGCAGGCACTTATTCCACTGAGCTAAGCCCTTAGCAGGAAGGGAGGTTTTTATGGGGTCTGAAAGGGGAAGTACAAAGGCAGAATACTTAGCTGTCTTTGATTGGTTCTTTCAATATGTATCATAGTGACCAGCTATACATTACAGTGACCAATCATTTTTAGGAGACAGTAGTACAACTGTGACAGGAGCTGTTACCTGAGCAACAGGCTGGCTAGGAGCATTTTACACTACATATATAGACATCTGTATACTTTTCTCTTGCTCATCTGTTTTATGTTGATTTTATCCTTAGGTCCAGCCAAAGGTCCTAAGTGTAAGTAAAACTCAACTCCTCTATACTTTTTTCTTTTTTAAACTTTCATGATTTCTTCTACTTTTAGGCTGAGGGGTAGTGCCTCATTACAAACACATTCAGTATGTGTTCTCCAATGCCAACACAACCCTAGCATTATAGCCAAACATTAACTGTAACAAAGGTAGTGACTGCTGAGTACTGTTATGCAGGAATAGCAGTGGATTTACAGAAGGTCCTCTCTGCTAGTTGTGGAGTGCAGCTGTGAACAAGAATGAAACTGAAATTCTTATTATCTAACAAAGTCAGCTTTTACCTTCTTAAATTTTCTTTCCTCTTAATAGAAAGACATCCTTCAAAATATGGCAGAAACCAAGGGGAGCCATTTTTTGTAGACATTTATTTCACATACAAGTTTTCAAGAAGACATCTAAGTGAACATCAACACAGAACAATGACAGACATCCATTTATACTTGGTCTTGGAACGCATAGAGATGGGGCAAGGGCTCAGAGTTACACAGGTTGCTCAGTACTCCTTTCACTGGGGCTCCCTAGCTCCATATCACTGACTCTGTCAGTGGGCACAAGATTTCACAAAATAACTTTCACTGCAACTACTTGCTTTTGCCTACCAGGGTACCTATCCAGCTGCCTATTGAATGTGAGTGACTTGTCCTTTCTCCTTGGTGAGCACTCCTTGGCTGGCTTTGGTGTCACACTGTCCCTCTGATGCACATGAAACACACAGAGTACGGCAGAGGCTCTATACAGTGGGGAGTTAGGCTGGAGCCTGGTCTCTCAATCTCAACCTGGCACCACAGCCTCCTAAATGAAAGTACCTGAGCAATCTTGGCAGTCAAGTTCTACTTCTCAAAGACAGGCCATGATTTGTCAAGCAATACTTAGTAAGTGGTATTCACAAGACTGAAACTTTTTTTTTGGCTTTTGATGTAATGCTCCTTCCAAGGAGAGGCTACCCTAAGCTGTTTATGTATGTGTGAAGTTCTTTTCTTTAAAAAACTGTTTCCTTCCAGATAAATTAAGTTAAATGTTTAATAAAATAACCAGTGATAATTAGAGGTATTTCTGAAAATCAATACAAATCTAGGTAGGAAATATGAATTCAGTTTCTAAAATGCCTTAGATGTCAGAAAATAAAATGTTTATACCACTTTTAAAAACTAGGATTTGAAGCAATCTTGAAAAAGGGCAGGTTTAAATAAATTCAGGGTTAGGGTAGCTGAGGTGGACTTCTATTGGGCTAACAGCCAGAACAAAGAGGGCAAACAGTAAATTATAAAATCATAGTGTAAGATAAGAAAAATTGTTTTGGCTGAGAATCAAAGCAATACCTAGTGAGAACTAGAAAAAAAAAGATTTTCCTGTGCATCTTCAAAAAGGCAATGTTATATGATATAAAAGACAAACTACTTAAAACTGTGATTATTCATTTTAACTTTCAGCTTCATAAAAGATAACATGCAGGGAGACAGTAAAGTTGGTCTAAAATGATCAGTGAGATCTTCTATTTAGTTAAAATAGAGACAAATCCATTAAAGGATGCCCAAAAGCCCATTTACAATCAGGAATGTAAATAGGGGAACGTACCTTCCACCTTAGCTTGACTCCAGATATGAGACAGTTCCACTGTGGACAAACAAGGCCTTGATCCTTTCCTGCCAGTAGCACCAAACATGATTTCACATTTGTAATTCAGAAAAACTTTAGCAGTAAAGGTGATTTCTTCCTGATTTACCTTCTTTAACTGACATAGATGTAATGGCCATTATTTTTTGCCTCAATACGTGTTTGTTGTAATCATGTTGTAACTTCCGTAAGTATAGGCATCATGCCCCCTTTTAAAATTTTTGTATATCCCACCACAGCTTAGAACATGGTCTTACACGTAACAGTGCTTATTAAATATTTATGAATAGATCATCTACTTTTCTGAATCATGCTTCCATATAATTATCAATTCTGTGTACATATTACTAAGTGGTAATTTATATTAATGTGCATCTTTTCTAGAGTTGGAATTCCAGAACATCTACACAATATAAGCACAAGCCCACTGGCACCACACACATCTTACTGTGCTAGGCACAATACCAACATGAAATGTATGTACTATTAGAAGTCTATAATTTGGACAACATAGAGTAAATCAAATAGTTGACGTGAACAATCAGAACATTTCCAATAAACTGTAAATCAGAAACGTTCATCAGTGTTTACCTGAGTCACCTGCTTGCCAACAGGCCACATCCTATTCGGGCACCATAAATTGAATTTCTTTTAACAGTGCTTACCCTCCTTGGTACTTTGCTGAACAGCTTTCAAAAGATTCTAATTTACTTGAAGGAAAAACACTATCCCTAGGTGCCTTCAAATAAGGCAGCATTTGACGAAGTAGAGAGAGATAAAAACAAAAGAATAATCTACATATAGTCCTGACTCTGGTTATTTTTCCTCTAAACTACTGATTTTTCCCACCCCAAAGCAAAGCCACTCTAGGTATTAAGCATATAAATACCACTGGCTCCATCCTAAAGCAATTGGCTTTAAAAGATCAAATCCCTGGATTTCATCTGTAATTCTGTACATGAATTACTATTTCCCCATCTAAACCATTTATCTGTATTTACTGGGATGATGCTACAGGGAAACCAAAGAGATTTTTCAGGCAAACCTAAATTAGGAAAACAAAAATGGCCTTCTAGATTGTAATTTGCTATAAATACTTCCACTTTCACTTAGTGAATTGTAGAGTCGTATAATTCTTCAGGGCCATTACAGTTAGGCTTATGATCCTATGAACAAGGAACTGAATCCTCAGATACAGAGGTTAGTATATTGAACAGGTGCCCCCTGAAAGTGTTGGCTTGGACTGAAAGAATTCTCTGATCTACATCAAGCCTAACGAGTCCACTACACACTTCAGGTCTTTATCATATTTCTTCCCTATTCCTTTACAATTTCAGAAACACTACTACTATACTAAAATGTGGGCTGGTAAATATAAAATATGTCAATAAACCAGTCACATTTCTAGGAAAGAGCCAGAGAAGTTATAGGGTAGAATTACAATGTGTCTGAAACCCTACTTTATTTTAATGAGACACACCCATAATCATGCATTCTATTTAATTTTCAGATAGCATGGTAGTTTAGAAGAGTCCACTGAGAACACCTGCAACAATTAAGAGGTAAGTGTAAACCTTGTAAGAAATAGCAAGAGGAATTTCCTGGAATTTTACTTGGGGGTTGGAGAAGCAGTGGCCACAGGAATGTAAATCTTCAGGTACAGAAGGTAATGATGGGTGATCATCTGCTTCTCATTGTGATAGACGGTGAGGCATTAGTAACATGACTTCAGTGACAACATAGAGCATCTTCCCTAGCCATATGGATCAACTTCTTGACAATAAAACGACATCATATCAGGTTTCTCAAGGAAGCTATAAAATCTTCACTCTCTTTTTATGAGTATCTTCAAAATGGAGGTGGATCTGATTTATCTGTGATCAGATTCCTGAAAGTTTTACTGAAATGGGAAAATCTGTTATCAAGTTACATCCAGGATCTCATATAGTACATAACAACAGCAACAGCAACAGCAACAACAACAACAACAACAACAACAAATCCTTTTGGCATTTACTCCCTTGAAAACACCTCAGCCACTTGAAAGGATCTTGAATATTCCTGAACTCAGGAATCCAATAGCAGTGATCGCAACATACCAAAAAGAACTTTGTTCTGTATGCAGAGAATGTGTTTTCTCTACTCTACCATACTAAAGTGGAGAAACAGAGAGGAAGAGGTGATGGAGTTAGAGGCAGAAGCAAGAACAGGATAAAAGTCTTATGTAATCTCAAATTTATCTTGGGAATTACACTTTAGGTCTAAGAAAAGACTACCACGGATAGTCAGGCTGGGTGAGATAGCTAAAGGGGCTCATTATTAAAGTGTTTTCCTGAAGTCATCAGTCTTTCCTTTCAGTGAGTTCTCTGGGGAATACATTGAGGTGGTGTGTGGCAGAAACTTTTCTCTCACATGAACGTCCCTATGTTTGGTGAGAACAGAACTCTTACTGAAACGTTTGCCACAGTGGGCACATCCATAGGGCTTCTCTCCAGTGTGGATCCTCCGGTGTTCTCGAAATCTTGTGCAGTTATTGAAACTTTTCTCACAGTCCACACATTTGTAGGGATTCTCTCCAGTGTGGACTCTGCGATGAGCACTGAAATGAGAACTGTTGGTAAAGCTTTTCCCACACTCTCCACACTGATAGGGCTTCTCACCAGTGTGGGTTCGCTGATGGATAATAAGACTAGAGCTTTGACTGAAGCATTTTCCACACTCCCCACATCTGTACGGTTTCTCTCCTGTGTGGATTCTCTGGTGAGCTCCAAAATTGGAGGAGTCATTAAAGCTTTTCCCACAGTCAAGACATTTGAAAGGCTTTTCCCCTGTGTGGATTCTTTGGTGTCTGATTAGGCTCCTGCTTCTACCAAAGCACTTCCCGCAGACACTACACTTATAAGGGTTCTCTTTCTGGTGGGTCATCCGGCACATAAGACGAGCACTCCTTCCAAAGCTCTCTCCGTATTTGAGAAGTCTGTAGGGTCTCCTTCCCATCAAAGGCCTCTGATGCATCACAGCTTTCCCCAGATCTCTAGGCTGGAGCATCAGCTTTCCCTGTCTAATGCCTTGAAAATTTTCCCATTGTCTTCCTGAGATGCATTCTCTTTTGTGATATCTGCTGGGATCAGTATTCTGGGAAACAATTCTTTTAGATTTTTCTATTAATGTCTTATGTGGTTCTATGTTCTTATATATTACCTGTGTTGGATCCTCCTTGCTGCTACTTCCAATTTCAAAATCTGAAAATAATACAAATGTAATAAATGTTCTGTATTAATATAAATAACCAAGCATGCAGTCTTTAGCATATTATGATCCCTCTATACTTCACGGGCCTTGGGTCTTATAGCTCTTTACTAAGATGCCTTATTTTCTTTCAGTTACATGAGCAGATTGATGACACCCATTACACAGTAGATCTTCATGTATGTTTTTGAATGGAATTATTCTATATTCTTATCCTGACTAATTGGGAAGCAACTTAACTTCCCGAAGCTGCACTCTTAAGGGTTCCCAAACCCTGGATCATAGAGCAGTACCAATCTGTGGCCAAAAGTTGGGAACCACTGCTCTAATTCACACTGTTTTCATTATTTCATGCTATATCATACTGTACCAGTCTTTAGATTGTAGTGACTAGGTTCAAACTCAAGGAATTTCTAAATTCATTGATAGCTAATGATATCTTATCCAAGACTACTTTTTCTTCTTAGATGTCCTTGCCACTTTTTTTTTAGTTGTCCCACAGATTACACTAACTCAAATCTTAATCCTCACTTTTTCCAAAATTTGGAATTACTATCTTTTTACTCTTTCAACTACATCTCACATTCACTAGAAGGTATATTTTGGATCTAGCTTTTCTGTCAAGTTTTCTAGACAGACAGCTTGATGTAGTGGAGAGATTCAGCTTGGGAGTTGCACATCTCTGATCTGATTCCATTTTGGTCATTCATTAACTATGACTTTTGAATTAACTTCTTATTAAGGGAGACTGAAAAGTACAAAGAAATAGAAGCACAAATGATGAACATCTGTAACCCTCTTTCTTGCCTTTAACAATGATCTATTTATGGCTAATCCTGTTTCATCTCTATTCCCACATGTTCTGTTCCCTGTACCCAACCTCCTTAGCCACAAAGCCTGAAAGACATGCATATCTCCTGTGACTATTTTACAAGCAGAATAACTCAGTAACTCCAGATTTGTTTGATTTCCAAAGTTTTGTTCTCAAATGTGTGCTAGATTGCCTTGTTTCTATTTGCCAATTTCAACACTGTCTATTACATACTCAAGTGAAACTTCTAGTAATGCTGAAGGTCAAGTGGGGCAGCTATGATGTGGGCTGGGGAGAGGGGCGCTCATCAATCAATTGACCAACTTTAGCAAAAAGACCTATCAGTCATATTTTTTACTTAGGAATTCTTTTGAAGTTTTCTTATTTGATCTAACATTGTTCTGGGATTTGAAGGATGTCACAGCCTAGTAGACAGTTCAGACACAGCCTGATAATTTGATGATGGATCTAGTGGTTATCTTTAGAACAAGATTTACAAGGACTTTGTCTCCAGAGTTACCAAAACCAAAATTACATGGGAATTATCCTTTATACTATAATTTTTCACATAAATACTTCCAGGGATATGTATGAACACTCTTCACTAGTATATTTGGACATTACTTTCTCTTGGCTGGGCCTCAGTTCTCCAACCAATTCAGGCAATACAGAGTTACTTGCTTTGAGAAATCAGTACTGCACTACCTTATATGTTCTTATGTATCCTACATCTATAGAAAGACAGAACTCTCAGAAGTTCTGTCTGAGAAGTTTTCAGAAGTTCATCACTTATTGGGAGGTCCAGGACATAGAAAGTGTCTTGTGCCATAAAACGGGCACAGTCTATGGGAGTAGAGAAAGAGTTTGGATACAAGAAGAGCCAAGGATGTTTTAAAGTAGAGGGAATACCATGAAGTAAGAATTAAATGTGAAAGCTTAGCATGTAGGAAATAGTAATTAGTTTTGTTTTGAATGAGCGTAGCGTGTGGAAAGAAAATAAAAATATATAAAGTTAAAAGCAAAAGATGAGTTCAGATTAAGAATGACTGTGGAGCCTTAATAGAAGTGTGGATAAGGATATCTAGTCTGGAAATTTTACAATAGTCTAGGCAAGAAACAGAGCAACAATGAACTAGTGTCATGGTTATGGCAACTAAAGAAAAAGCAGACAAATGTGATACTCTGCAACATGATATTCTAAAATGTGTCATCTGCCTGGATGTAAATGATGTATGAGAAGGTATTAAAATTGCCCTTAAAAGATCTGAATCTGGATAAGCTGTAAGAGAACAAATGAAGAGCTATGGTGTAAGATGGAAAATGATAATTTTAGTTTTAAATATCTTAAGCCTGAGCAACCAATAGTATATGTCTAAAAGGGCATCTAGTGGTCAGTGGGAAACAAGCTGGTGGAGCTCAGGACCAGAAGAATAGTCTCTCATTTTGTCTCTTTTTCTTCACATACATCACATAACTATCAGATATTTCTGACATGAAGTTGTGGACACACATTCTTCATCCCCCCCTTTTTTTTTAAGTGTTATTCCAAGTTCTTCCACATGGGATACAAAACACTGTTTGACACATACAGATAAAAACTAAGCTGAGATTCCAAAGACTGAGTCACCAGAATACCAATGGGTGAGTACTTCCTCCAAATGGAAGCACCTTGAGAATAGGACCTGTTTCATTCATTCTATATTTCCTGTTCCTCAAATAGCACAGGGTGCTCAAGTATCTGCTGAATGAGTTAACCATGTGCCATATCTATAAATTTTCTAGTATGTCCCACTTTCTCCTCTTTTAGACTAAAAATTCTTGATGATTCTTACCATTTGGGGTTTGCAGCAGACCTGGAGGTCCCTGGAATTCTTGCTCTTGTATAACTTCCTCCTCACTCATTCTTTCATTGCCAGAATCTTCTATTATTGCTTCCTGGGAGGTCTCCTCAGGTTCCCAGCCTGTAGATTCCTGGGTTTCTACCTCAATAGGCCCTGTTTCTTGCCCTGAGGATGACAGGACTTCCGGACTATTGGTGGAAGGGGCTGATGCCCGAGAGTTAATCAGGGCATCCATTTCCTTGTAGAATGCACAGGACTCTAGCACATGTCCATTCTTTACTTTGCGGTAACTCTTTTGAAGGCTTTTGAACTTGGTTCGGCATTGTTCAGGTGTTCGGAGGAAGCCACACTCTCGAAGTTGTTCAGCCACGGCCCCATACAACTTGCTCTTCCGATGACAAGCTTGAAGTGCTTCATAAAACCGAGTCTCATGAAGTATATCAAGAAAAGTCTTTGTTTCTTCATAGCCCCAGTGCACACCTGCCATTCAAGAAGATCAAAGATGTAAAAGCAGCAGCATGAAGCCTCTAAGTGGTACATGTTACAAAACAGAACAGTAAAAATAATACCATTCATAATAGCATCAAGAAATATGATACATCCAGGAATAAACTTTGTAAGAAATGAGGTCTGTATTATAAAATTAGAAGATACAAATTAACCAGAAAACATGAAACACTATTTTTTTTTTTTTTTCTTTTTCCTTTTTATCGGTACCGGGGATAGAACTCACGACTGCCTGCTTTACAAGGCAGGCACTTATGCCGCTGAGCTAAATCCCCAGCCCCCGAAACACTCTATTTTTGGATAAGAAGACTCAAACTGTATAGAGAGCAAGTTTTAAATAGGTTGAAATTCCATCCAGATTTAAAGTGTAGTTAAAGTATAGTCTCCAAAATCTGCCATAACTATGAAGACTAATTAGAGGAGTTAACTGTGTAGAAGTATCTTTCCTAAGTGGTTAGGAATAAAGGACTAGAACACCCAACACGAGCTGCCCCCACAAGTTCTTATCATTTCTTTTTTTTGAGACAGGGTCTCATTCTGTAACTAAGGCTGGCCTTGAACTCAATGTGGCTTCGAACTTGCAGTAATCCTCCTGCCTCAGTCTTCTGACTGCTGGGATTACAGATGTGGCACCACCACACCTGGCTTATCATCTCTTTAACCAGTTTTCTTTGAAGATCAAAACTATGTCCAGAGTGATTCTGCATCCGGGGGTGGGGTGGGGTGGTGAATGTTCTACTTTTGAGAGATGATATGCTGTGCATAATCAATGTTCTCTACTGAGAACAGAACTGAACATCTAAACATGATTTGTCAAATATGCTTTTTGGAAAACTGTTTTCTATCTTCACTCTTTGCTGGTTGGTTTCTTCTAGTCCTAATACTGGTTTCCCATATTAAGACCAACTCAGGAGCTCCACTCTCATGTTATGAATTTTAAATTGGTATCTGCACATGCCTAATGAATCTTCCCACTTTTAGCAGAATTGTTTATTTTGAACTCTAAGATTTTCTAGCTCAATTTACCTTTCCATTCTATCTAAGAACTTACCATCTCTTCTCTTGGAATAGAGAAGATATTATTAATAACAGTGATATTAGGCAAACATATTTTAGCATTTTCAGAGTGCCTTCATCTCTATATACCACTGAGTACTACAATAAGCCAGTGAAGTACTCTTTGTCACATATAACAAATGAGAAAGCTGATGCTCAGGATAGTTAAATAGTGTATTTTCTGCCCCACAGTTTAATTCTGTATGTTCATTCCCCAAATATTTAACACTTTTATATGTTTAATTTTATTTTCTTCATGGTACTGGGATTGAACCCAGTACCCAGATTGAGTCTTGTGCTTATTAGGCAAGTGCACTACCACTGAGTTATATTCTCAATCCTCTTCTCAAACTTAATGTTTTTGTGTTCTTATATTTAAAATGCATCCTTTGTAAGCAACACATAGGTGGTTTTAAAAAAAAATTCTGTGACAATTTAGTCCCATAAACTTGTAGCTAGTGATATATTTGGACGGTATCTACCATTTTTTTTTCTATTTGAGTTATCTATTTTGTTTCTTTTTCTTACTGTCTTCTTTTTATTTTAAACAAAAATTTCTATTTCATATTTTTCACTCTTTTAATATAGTAGTTACTTTTTAAAAACTGTTATCTTAGGCGATCTAACAACATATCCTTAATTTATAACAATCTAATACAACTCATTGCTTTATCCTAATTTTCAGACAATACTAGATCCTTAGATTCTTCTAACTCCCTTTATCTTCTATCTACAAGGCCACAAATACTTAAAGTGCATGCTATGCTGACAAAGAATCCTTCATGGCCACTCACTGTTGTTACTTACTTGCACTGGGACAACAAAAAATACCTGAGAGTACCTCCAGTTATGGAGTCACATCACAGTAAAAGTGGCAAGGCATGTGTGACAACACTCTCTAGGTTTTATTGCTCATCTATCCCTTTCCCCAAGAATAAAACTGTTTTCATATGAGGAAAAATAAATAGTACGATTCTTACCACTCAGGTTTTGATACAAGACAGGGGCACCATGAATTTCAGGCTTGTGGATAAATTCAATGCCCATTTCATCACCATCAGATTCTTCTGCAGCTTCCTCTTCCACCGAAGTGATCTGTTCCTTAGCACTATTACCAATTCTCTTTAGTCTAGGGAGAGATATCATCTCCTTAGGCTTGTCAGTAGATGAAGCATGGGCTGTAGGGTTTAACAAAGCATCCATGTCCTCAAAGAAGGCACAGGGTTCCAGCATGTGGCCATTTCTCACTTTTCGATAGCTTTTCTGCAGGCTTTTGAATTTGGTTCGGCACTGTTCTGGTGTGCGGAGGAAGCCACATTCCCGCAACCATTCAGCCACAGCACCATAGACTTGGCTATTTCGGGGACAAGCCTGAAGTGTTTCATAAAAACGAGACTCCTTGAGAATTGCAAGAAAAGTCTTAGTCTCCTCATAGCTCCAGTGCACACCTGCTATCTTCTCATCTTCTACACCCCACTGTTGCTGTTCTCTCCATGCTTTTCCAGCATTCCTTGCTGGGATCCGAACAGCATGAACTGATTTTTCCTTGACATAGGTGCTTTGCAGGATATTTCTTTTATTTGAGGAATGTGGACTTATGGTCCATGGCTCTTTTCTTTGCTCCAATCGGGCTATCTTGTTAGATAGAGACATTGTATTTCCTATTTAAGAGAAACATATTTCATAAAAGACACAAATGCCATTATTGTGTAACTTGATCTTTTGTTGTAACATGCCTTCTTGGACCATATGCTCAAACCAAAGGTTTCCTCAGCCATGACAATGCACATAAGTATTCTTATGACTTGTTTGGTGCAATCACCCACAAATGGTATTATTTTACTTCTCATGTAAGTACCACTTCTTAGCTAGTTCTTAAGAGAATACATTTAAGGGTAAGAAATCTATTTCATTACCTCTGATTTTCTTTCAATAGCTAACACTGTGTAAGGTTCAGAGTATGCTACTAATCAGTATTTGTTACCTATAAATTGTGCTTGTACTTCACCCAATATCCTTTCCTGTTCACCTCAACATGCACACATGTATTATGGTAAAGCTGACAGAAAATGAAGCAAATACAGAGTTTGGTACTTTACAATAATGAAGAGATCAACAAATTTTAAATTTGAATTGTAGCCACACTATCTATTTTCTGACTAGTGGAAGTTTCTTAAGCTCTCAGCCTCAGTTACCTAAGGGATAATATCATCTACCAAAAAGTTGCTGGAAAAAAGTAATCATGTTTGAAGTATCCAATGCCCAATAAGAATGTAATAAAAGTTAGTTTTCTTCTTCACACAACATTCAGAAGAGGTTCAAAAATTTTAGAGAAGCAACATTAAATGCAACCCTTCTAAAAGAAATCTAGGAATGGAGAGTTGTTCTTTATTTTTTATGTGTGAGGTGGCCTGAATAGGGACACTGGAAGTTGGGCATGAGCCCTTTACTCAACTCTGCCAACTGTGGTTGCATAGGAAGGTGAGATCTTGGTGTCTGATGTGTCATTTTTCAAGATGTACTGGTAAACATTGTGAAGGACAAAATATGTATATGGACCAAATTCAGCCTAAGAGTCATTAGTTTATAACCTACAAAATAGTGGGTTAAGTGTCTTGAACTGGATCATTTCATATGAAATTGTACATGAAAGGGTTAGACTCTGAAATGGCCCTTTTTCACTAGGGACAGATTTTGCTGAGGACTGTAATCCAGCATTTTACTAGGACTATATGCCACATAAGCCAAGGAAATGGTAGGAGTACTTATTATGTACACAATTAGGCAGATGGCTGGGCTGTCCGTTATTTTTCAAAGGTTGTCTCATTATTAGGATATCATCTTAAATTGGTCATTTTTAACTGCTTTAACTTATTTCTAATAATACATTGTTGGTGTGCCTTCAGATTATCTATTCAGTTAGATTTCTAATAATACATTGTTGGTGTGCCTTCAGATTATCTATTCAGTTAGATTTGGCTCATTTCACAATCTCTACTTTAGCGTCTATGTGTGGCATGTCCAATAGAACCTTCTGTGATGATGGAAATGTTCTACATATATGCTGTCCAATATGGTTGTTCAGTACTTTAGATGTGACCACTGCCAGAGAGAAACTGAATTTTACATTTTATTTAGTATAATCCATTAAAATTTAAATAGCCCCATGTGGCTATGGTTATCATTGGGAAGCACAGGATTATAGTATCTCTAATTTATACAATTTATGACTGTTGGTTATAAACTGGTACACACTATAATTTTATTCATAAGTAAAGTGACTAATAAAAAAGCTCACATGTAAATGAATCATACTTATTCTATCTGCTAAAGCAGATAGATAGTTCACTAAAAATCTGATTGTAGAGCAACATTTAAGTGGCCATGTGTGCCTGCAAACTTGAGCTATTTAAATGATTTATAATACCCTATCAAAGTTATTGTATTTAGATTACTTTCTTAAATTTTAAAGAATTTTATTCACACAAAGAATACGCACCCACCTACATATCATCCACATGTTAGGTTACTATTGTTAAATAAAGAGAAATCCTGAAAAGACCTTGTGACTTTATGGAGCTTTTAGGTTAATGGATGTGTGTAAGTTTTTATTTTCCACAATATAAATATATATTACTCTGCTAAATATTAACTACTCAGTCATATAGTAATCTTTCAATTACTTAATTTTTTAAGAATTTTTTTATTTTAAAAAGCAAAATAGAAAAAAACAATAGAAATAATGCAGAATTTAAAAAAAAACAGTAAGAAATCAAGTAAGATATTGCATATTGTTATCTTAGAAGTAGTTGTTCAGGTTACAAGATGTAGGCGTACAAAATGATCAAACAATCCAACAATGACAGCACAAACTGTTCTTTTTGATGAATAGAGATTAGTAGTATAGTTATCTATCTTGTACACATATCCATATATACAGTTACATGTGCATACCTAAATATATATAATCTTTTCCTTTCTTTCCCCTATCCCAGTTGTTCTTTCCTTTTGATCAATTACTAAATTATTAGAGTATTTTTTTCTTACTAGAGGGAGGGAATGATTGAGGTAAGAGAACATGGATAAATTACTACACTAAATGACCATGATGATCCCTTAAGCACTATAATTAAATACAATGATTTTGTCATTTATAAGAATGAATACATAAGCGATCTCCAGGTCTTTTACTTATAAAGGGAAAGAATTCTTACCTAGGGTGACTGTGTGCTCAACATTCTCCTTCCTGATTTCCTGGTAAAGGTCTCTATGAGCAGGGATCTGATGCACAGTCTTTTTGTGGGAAAAACCTCTTATCACATGGACATCTTTCACTGGTTCCTGTAACAACACTGACACCAATGACTACCAAGATAAATCCATGGGGCTTTAAAAGATGAAAGGTGATGGAAAAACCAGAGAAGGGCCTTAGAGAAGAACTGAAACTAAGGAGCCAAGTGTGTATTGTGTATCACATGAAGCAGAAGATACAGTAAAGAATAACAAGATAAGATGAGATAGAAGAGATGGTACAGCCAGCAGTACTATTACTCAGAAGACTGGGTACAAGGGTAAGATGTCTCTTGGATGGAGTATGAAAATTTGAAGACAAGAGAATGTACAGGAAATCATTGTGTCTGTATATCCTTGGAAGGAAGAAGGCCAGAGAAGACAATCACAATTTACCTGGGACCTAGGAGGAGGATGTGTAGTTGTCACCTCCTGGTCTATGGTGTTCCATTCATCAGTAGGGGTAGAAACCCAGGGAGAAGACTGAGCTATAAAAAGAGAAAGAAATAATTAGTATTTTCGGTTGTGGTCCTTTCATTCATGCCTTTCTTTTTTTAAGAAATAAGATGTATTAAAGTCAGCTGATATAAAAACTGATTATTTTTCAATGAATTCAGAACAATGCCCCAAATTATACCACGCTAAAGTCAGGCTAATGAACTCAAATGGATTCATGGTGTAGGTAGGCAGGTAAAGTACCTGATGGATGGAGCCTGGTTGGGACTATGGGGAACTGACAGCACATGCCCCACTGCAGAGACATAGCCAAGGTTCCACTTATGCTTCCATGTGAGACTGGCACTTGTAGGGTCAGAGTTTCCAATTTTCTCCAAGGGATACCAGAAATCTATACTTTTATGAAATTTCAAATCTTAAACCCTGAAAACTAAAAGCAAAACAAAATATCCAAAAAACACTATTATTAAGTGAACCTAAACCAGTCTGGTTTGGTGTGAAAATTAACAGTTTGCTAACTTTAGTGTAAGTTAAGTTTCCATGAATGACAACTGCCACAAGGAACTTAGCAAACACAGATACATAGTAGTGGACAAATGCAGGCAAATATACTCTCTACGTGGAAAGAAGACACAAAAACATTTATACAGCGGTTTTTTTTTTTTTGCACTGGGAATCAAACTCATAACATCGTAATTGCTAGGAAGGTTCTGTGCTACTGAGCTATATCTCTACCTACATAGCTTATTTGTGGTCTTTTCCCCTAAAACTCACTATCTAGGGAAAACTTTAAGAATAACTATCATAGAGAGAAAGGCAGGGAGAGGAAGGGAATTAAAAATGAAGTACATGTAGTACTTCCTCAAGATAAACATAATTACTATATATTGCATACTATACTAATAAAAGAAAATAAATAGAATAACTATCACTTGTCACCAAGAACTCAAAAGTTACACCACCAATTTCTACAGAAGCAAGTCAAATCATTTCCCTGGAAACATATTTCTTGAAACATACAGCTGAAATTATAGATCTTTAGAATAAATTTACTATTCTGAGATACCTATATCTCAAATTTTCTATCCTTAATACCCCAGTCAGGATCTCAACAGAAATCCTTTTTCACTTTAAAAATTCCTTATCATCTTGAGATAGTAAAAGCCAAAATACTACAAATAGGTATTTGCTAGACTAAACCTATTACCTAGTCCCTGAGCCACCTGATCCATGCAATCAAGTAAGCTTTGATACTAATGAGTAAACTGAGTAATTCAGACACCACTAGTGTTTGTAATGCATTCTATTGTGCACAATAAGAACATAATGTGGGGGAGGTATAAAGGTAGAGTATGGGATAGCAAATCAGCTCTTGATGAATGACTGTGTAAGTTAGGCAGAGGTGAAGATAAAAAATAATTTGTTATGGGAAGAAGTAAATTAATATACACTGAGCATTATTATACACAAGCCATTTTACACTGCCTCACTAAATCTACATGAACAATTTGCTATTTTCCTTTTATAGATGAGAAAATGGGAAGTTTGAGGAGTTAAGTAACCTGACCAAGGTTACACAGACAAAAATGGAACAGGGTTCTAAGGCCTGTGACCTGAACCTCTAGGCATTCATGCTGTTTTCCTATTTCTTGCCCAAGATCAGACATAAAGGGCAGAGAAAGCATAGTCTTTTGACTGTAGATCCTGGGACTTTTCCATTCAAGAGACAGAGAGATAAGTGAACTGGGAAGGACACTGGGATCCATTTCCTTGTATTTAACTGGATCTATTTATGTGCAGGGGAGCTAAGAACATCTCTGTGAAGTCTTATTGTTTATCCCTCTCAAATCCATTTTGTGATGCCTTAACTTGTGAGTCCATATTGAGACATACATATCTTGATTCCCTTTTCAAACAGTTTTTAAGTTGTTCATAATCAACTAAGAGCACAAAGGCTCAAGACAGGGACTAAAAACACATTCTGACCAACAGAATGGAGATTTTAAAACAATATTAAAAGACTCAAGGTTGGCCTGCACAATCTAGGTTTCCTACTGTTATCTTTAAGACCTTTTTCTACTTAGGTTGCACATTCCCAACTTTGGAATCTAATGAAACTTGTCTTCTCACTAATTTATTTTCAAATACATATCAAGGGGACTCTACATTGAGTAAGTTACTGTGTCACAATCTATATCTGCCATGATCTCTGTACAGGTCATGCTCTAGATCCTTCTCACCATTTCTGGGTAAGAGTTGATAGTCTCTCTTTTGATTCAGCTGTTCCTGGCGTCCTGAGTGGAGGCTTCCAGCTTCTTTCCGAGACAGTACTTTGGATTGGGTCTCTTTCTGCTCCTGCTGAAAGTCTGCTATCTCCCACACTGTTCCAAGTGGGGCTTGCTTCTCTAAGCGTACAGGACTGCTGACCTGGGAAACAAAGTTGATACCATAAAGGAAAGGGGGAGGGAAAGAGATCTAAATCAGGGTCAAATTCTCCCAAGAATGATATTCAAGAAGAACAGAAGATGTGAGAAGGACTCAGCATTTCAGTGCATTCCCAATGGAACTGCACAAAAGTGTCAGGCTCACAGTACCAACTAGGAGTTCAAGTATAAAGAAACAAATCGCTGGGTGTTTAGTTCAGTGGCACAAGTGCCTGCCTGGCATGGGCAAGATCATGAGTTTGAACCTGGGTACCAAAACAACAACAATAAAACCCCACAAAAAACAAGAGAGTGATTTGTATTGCTTAGAGCGAGAAAATATGTCAGGAGTGAAATACACAGTTCCCTTGTTACTAGAATAGATATTATTTGAGTTGTTAAGTCATTTTTAGGTTCACAGAAAAGTTTTGAGAATGTGAACACATTTCGTAGTGAGATGAAAAGTTACAAAATTATTCCCCACATCAATTACTTTCCAATACAACAACCTGCTGAAGCTCTTTACACAGTGCAAATCTTGCGTGAGGAAGCTATAAACCTGGCAAAGACTACAGGACTTCACTAGGTTAATGAGAGGTGTTGAAAGTCACTAGCAGAACATGCAATGCTACTAAGAAATCTTCAGTTAAATCGGAAAAGAGTGATAAGACCATGGCACTGAGAGAACTTCAAAAACAAGAGTGGAATATGAAAGGATTAGAGCAGACTGGGATAACTGGAGAGGCTTTTTTGATAAAAATAGCCCTCTTAAGGATTAAGTTACACAAGTCAAACCCTGTGAAGCATAACCATATTACTCTCTCATATAATTTTGCTGCAAATATTATGCCAAAGAGTAAAACAATTATTTAGATGCACAATGTTTAGTTTCATTTACAAGACAATGTTTTGGCCAAAAGTTCTTTCTGTTTAAAATGAAGTGCTGATCCTCTTTTAAGTATATTCACTTTATGGGTCGTTTATTAGTGTCATTTATCTTTTCTTCTTAAGTGCTTATTTTTATAATGTATCATTGCTCACCTGCCCTTCCTATCTTCTTTTTAAAATACGAAATCTGAAACATCCTTTCTCACCTGCCGTCTCAGTCTTCCAGTCTCTTTCTCCAAATGGACCACCAGGGCCACTGCCTCTTCTCCGCTTTCTGGACACTGCCTCTGGGCCCACGCCTGAATCTTCTTGGGTAAAATGGTAAGAAACTGCTCAATCACCAACAGCTCAAGCATCTGTTCTTTGGAGCGCGTTTCAGGTTTCAACCACCGGCAACAAAGTTCCCAGAGTTTACTGAAAGCTTCATGGGGTCCAGTTACATCCTCATAACAGAACTGCCTGAAGCATTTGCGAAAGGTCTCACACTCAGTGCTCTCCAATCCTTCCTCAAAGTGCTCTGACGCCCAATCGGGGTCCTTTTCTACCTTCATTATTACACACTCCTCTACCTCCAGGGGAATGCTGACCTGGGAGTCCAGGACTGCAGCCATGCTCCAAACAGGGTGTTCTGGTCACCTCAAGTCGAGCTTAAAGTTCTGAGAAGCCTCTAATAGCCTAATGTTTCTGAAAGCATGGAAGGTAGTGAAGTTAAAAAGAATCCAAACGAACCCCAAAACCGCAATTCAGCAGTTTTAGCAGAAACAGTACTTCAGGCTGATTAATCAAATCTATCGTAGGCCCTTGAAAAGGTGAATGAGTACCCCAAATCCAAAAACCTGGCCTCTTCTCCAAACAAGATGTAACCTGGCAATGTGGCTTTCCGGAGTGCATCCCTCTTAGTGCAATGCCGAAACCAAGAGAAGGGCTCCGGGACCGTGAGCAAAGCAGGCAGAGAGGAAGGATGGGCGGGGACTACCGCGGCCTGAGGGGGTGTGTCCGCTAACCCCACAGCCCGCTCCCTCTGGGGGTGAGGGGGCCAGGCAGCGAGTGGGTGGGGCGGCTGCGCGGGCTCCTCTCGGCCCCACGCCCTTGGCACCTCAGCCTCCAGGCAGCTGAGGTGTCTAATCGGGTCCCGGAGGTGTCCTAGACCCGTGCCGGGCTCCTTCGGCCCCACGGCAGCCGTGGCCGTCCTCAGGAAGCCTTCGCAAGCTGAGGAAAGGTCTTGAAGCGATTCCGCTGGGAGGATGAAAAGCAGCAGGACTAACCAAGGCTTCACGCGAGGCTCCTGGCTCCTGGGGCGCCGCGTCCTCCGCTGAGAGCGCGGGGGTCTCTGGGAGCCGCAGCTACGCATGCGCGCCGCGGGGCCCGCGCGAGGCTTCCTTGTGGGCTAGGGGCTGGGGGAAGGGGCTTCTTGGGTGATTCTCGCGAGAGCGCTCCGCACGGGGCTGCCGCCGTGAACTTTGCGCGTGAGGAGGGCTGCGAAAGGACAGTTGTACGTAGCAGAAGGACAGCGTGGGGGGTCGAGCAGTGGTTTCCCCAGAACTGGGAAAGGGCAGGGTCTTGGTAGGGAGGACGCAGGCAGCGGGGACTCCTTTGTCCTGCGGAGGAATTTTGGTCGCCACGCGCAGAGCGTCCCCGCCGTCGGCAGCTCGCGCGTTTCTTCCACTGGCCCTCAGTAATGGTTTGGGCCTCTGACCCCTGCGGAGAGGCGCGGAGCGGCGAGGGTCTGTTTCTGCTGGAGGACTGTAACGGGTGGCCCAGTCCATCCGGCGTGCGAGGCCGTGCCTGTTCACTTTGGTTGCTCAGGGTCAGAAGAGATTTTCCAGTCAGGAACCCAGTGAGCTGCACAGCTGCCCCTCTCCTGGTGCTGTCCTGATGTCCTGTCTTTCCCAAGATCATTGTTTCAGGGAGCAGGTAGCCTGTTACAAAACAGTGCAGTGACTTATTTCTCAAAACTTTTAGAATTCAGCATGCAAATTCCAGCACCGAGAGGCTCTGAGTATAGTGTATCTAGCAGGTGTTAGTGACAGAGTCAGAGAGAATCCATGGCGCATAGTAGGCCAAGGGTTGTATCAGAGTCATTATATAGCTTTCCATTCTCGTAATTTATTGAACACTTATATGCAACATGGTGATAGGTGGTGAGTAAACCCAGGGTTTTTTTTTGTCGTTTTTTATCAGTCTGGTCGCAGAAGTAGTCATTAGTCAAATAAACCATGAAGTAATGTGCAGAGGTAACCTTGATGGGTACGAGTAAGGAGAGAAATGGATTTGAACCAGCGAGGAGATCGGGGAAAATTTCTTTGAAGAAGTGTTGCCAGAGACTGAGATCCAAAGGTAAAAGTAAGCACTAATTAGGGAAAGCAGAGACCTCATAGAAATCCTGTAAGGGAGATATGATTACTTCTGTTTTAGAGTTGAGGATATTGAGACCTCAGTTAAGGTCAAGTAATTTCTCACGGTTACTGCAAATTAAGTAACCGTGAGAATTGAGAATAGGATTTTTAAATATACTCCTTGGTCTATTTGGTGGGTCTAAGGGAGGTGAAGTATTATGGTACAAAGTCATTAGGAAACACTAGTTAAGTTGGAAGCATTCAGAATTTAGGCAAACTTATAAATTGAAGTAAAGGCAGAACATAGGGCATCGTGCAGACTACTAAAATGGAAGTTCCATTCCAGTGGATGAAGGAAGCAGCCATTAGTTCCAACTTTTTTTTTCATGCAGGAATATGGACAGATGTGCCAGCTTTTTCAGTTGTTCAAAAGTTGACAAGTCTTTTTTGGGGAGTATCATCACACTTAAATAATCGGAAAATACGTTTATCTGTCTTCCATGACATGAATTACCAATAGAGAAATTCCTTGGTTCAGAATCATAAGATTTTCAGGAATTATGTCATGTTTTGGTGGGCTCTTAATAACATATACTGATTTCTATGTATAGTTATAATGGGAAATTTCAAACATAAAAGAATACAATTAACTCCTCTTTCTGACCTCCAGCTTTAACAATTAGTGCCAGTCTTGTTTTCCCTATAACTCTACCCTCACTCCTGACCACAGATTCTTTTGGAGCAATTCCTGAACATCAGATTTAACTGTCAGAATGTATTAAACATAATTTCAGTATCATTATAAACCCTCTTCAATTTCTTCAGCAGTTCTTTAATACTTTAAATAATAGCTTATTTGGTTGAATGATGGTATGTAAGGGAAAAAAGGGTCATAGATACAGGGCAGGTTAAAAAAAAAAAACCAGATGTCCTGCATGTTTGCTAATGAGGTGTTTACATTTAGTTCAGTTTGAATTTAGTTCTGCGTTTGGAGCAGAAAAACAGATTGTTGAAAAATTATAGTGAATCTGTGCAGATCAATAAATGAAGCAAGTCAAGATATTATCCTGAGTTGATTCAAACCCAAGAGGCACTATCTTCCTATGTTCCCAAGAAGGGCATTCACACCAGTGTCCCGTCCTCCCCCCAAAACATCAGTTAGCACAGCTGTCATTGTACAAGGAACCTTACAGCAAAGTTTCCGTCCACTGTCCTCTGTCCATGGTGCTGATGGAATACACCTTTGGCAACCAACTCAACTAACCTGGTTTGGGATTTAATATAGTGTTGCCATAAATATGAACATATATGATGCAAGAAGTACTATCTATACTTGTGCTAAGTTAAAGAAAAAAAGCCCCAAAACTCAAGTGGGAAAATTTTCTAATACCAGTTACCTTTCTGTTTTATGCTCTGAAAGTCCAATGAATTTCTTTAAGAATTGAAAAGTAGAAGTGCAAAGGTTATGTATGTGTTAGATAATATTAGCACTTTAAATATGATTTCTTGGTCAAGATATAATTAATTGCAGTGATTTTTCATTTCTCACATTAAAAAATCCCTGTCTCACTAATAACAGTCATATTGCTGTCAGAATAAATGTTAAAATGTCCCAGTTCTTTTGACCCCACAGAGTGATACGATAATGAAAAATACTCAGCTCCTCTATGTGTGTGTGTGTGTGTGTGTGTGTGTGTGTGTGTGTGTGTGTATGTGTGTGTGTCTGTGTCTGTACCTGAGAAAACCCAGACCTTGTGCATGCTAGGCCAGCACTGCACTGCTAAATTACACCCTTAGATCTCAAATGTTTATTAATATGAATATATATTACTACACTCAATCTTTTTGTTGCATATCTCTTTATAAAGCACTGTGCTAGATATCTGTGGTTTAAGTAGACATATAAAGCTTAACATTTTAAAAAATATTAATGGTGTTAACATTAAAATGGAGAAAATTAGCGTTGTCATACATTAGAATGAGGATGATAGAGGTATGCATGAAGGTCTATGACAGCACAGTGTAATAGCCCCTTTAACTAGCAGTTCTTCCTTTATGGGAACTTTGAAGAATGCTTAACAGGAAGGGGAAAGAGAAAGATGTTCCAAATATGTAATTTAAGTGATATTTTTGTGCAGTGGTCTGAGATTGAGTGTATTGAGAATGTAGCATGAGTGAAGGAAATGGCAGAAGATGAAGTTCTACACACCGATTAGAGAGAACTGGGACTTTTTACTAGGGATTTGGACTTACAATGAAGGCAATTGAAAGAATGTTCATTGCCACAGGAGACAAGGTCAATTTCTGTCTCTGGGAAAAAAATTCTTCCCATGTAGACTCCTGGGGGTAGAGTAACTGTGGAAATAGTAGCATGCTGAGAGAGTTCTTGAAATATGAGATTTGAGTAAGACATTTGCTAGGGCCTATTTTTATTAACCCATTGCATTCATCTAAAGAAGCTAGTTATATGTCTTGTAAAGTGCTAAGTACTGAGGACACAGTAGTGAGACCTGATTCCTGTCCTTAAGGCACTTATGTTCTAATGGAGATTGGAGAACGGCCATAGTACAACCAAATGCACAAATTAACAGGAGAATTTCAAGTTGTTGTAAATGCTAATAAGAGATCAGGGTCATGATACACAACAAATGGACAACTTTGGAATGGACAACTTTGGAAAGTTTGATGAGGTTTGATATTTGAACTGATGTCTGAAGAAGATAAGGAGCCATATTTTTGGAAAGTTTGTGGCAAAACATTCCTGGAAGAGAAAATAATAAGTGTAATAAAGTCCTCAATGTAGAAAACTGTGAACTGTCCTGCAATTTGAAAGATTACCATGGCAATGAGCAAGAGGAGGGCTGGGAGTATAACTCAGTGGTAACAGCCCCTGCCTGGCAAGCATGAGGTTGTGAGTTTGATCCCTGTTAACAAAAGAAGGAGAAGGAGAAGGAAAAGAAGAAAGAAAAGAAGAGGAAGAGGAGAAAGGGAAGAAGAGTCAGAGGAGAAGGGTGAAAAAGAATGAGCAAGAAGAAAAATGAGGCTATAGTAAATTGCATGGTCAAGTAATGGTTAGACCATGTGGAACAAGCCTTAGGTAGAGGCTTCTAATTGATTCTAAAAATGGAGACATAAAGATTTTAAGTTAGTGAGTGAAATAATCTGGTTTGTACTTTAATAGAATTTCTCTGGGTAATGTTGAGATTGAATTGGAGGAGTATAAGAATAAAGAAAGAGTAACTTGCTATAGGCCTGAGTTTAGTTCTTGCAAGAGATAATAACAGCTTGGATGTGGGTGTGGCAGTAGAGCTGGAGAAAAGTGAATGTTTTCTGTATATTTTAGATGTAGAATTGTCAGGACTTGTACCAGTTTGGCAGTAGAGCATAAGAGAAATAGAGACATTGAAGATGGCTCTCAGGTTTTTTTTTAAATTTTTTTTTTATTTAAGGAGAAAAGAAAAAAAAAACAGTGAAAGGGTACAAGTTATACAGATTTACAGAAGAAAAAAATGAACAGTAGGAAATCACTAGTTAATGGATTACATATTGCCATCTTAGAAATAATTGTTCAAGTCACAAAATTAAAGCTTGTAGAGTGGACATTCCAACAATGATACTGCAAACAGTTCTGTTCAATGATCCAATAAAACTCTGTGATATCATTTTCTATCTTATACACTTAAATATACATGCAGTTAGCTCTCAGGTTTTTGATTTAAACAACTTGGTTGATTTAGGTTGATGATACTGTGTGTTTTGGTATAAGAAGAACTGGTAAGATTCTGTCAGTGGGGTTGAGATGGAGTGATGTTGGGAAAAATAACTTTGTTTTTGGCACAGTAATTTTCAGATCTTTATTAGATGTATGAGTGTTAAGTCATTGGCAAGATCAGGGAAGAGGATACAAATCTGGAGGTCGTGTATATTTAAAGCCCTTAGACTTGATAAAGACATATAGGAAGAAATCTTG